AAAGGAAAGATAGAGAACGGGAGAGGTCCGAGCAAGCAGGTTACACCCTAGGATGGTTCGGGACCTGGTAGATAGTGATGGGTAGAGTCCTGACTGAAACTTGGAGGCTAGACATTCTCTTCGTTTGGCCTGGGAGACACCCACGAGGACTCGCTCAGCAGAGCTGTTAGCTCTGCTCTAACAGCTCACTGCTGGCCTGTCAGCCCCGCGCACTTAGCTCTTCCTGGCCCCTCTCCCCCTACCCCCCCATAACCAGAACATCCTGCTTCCTGGGGGGCAAAGAGCAAAGATTTGGAGTGTCCCCCTGGCTTGGGCAATCCCCCTCTGCCACATCCCTCACTCTGCCACCACACTGGTCGCCTGCCAGTTTTTGAAATTGGCAGAGAAGGACAGGATCTTGTATTGTGGCACTGGGGCCATCCCACCATAAAATGCTGCCTGTCTGTGTCACTGGTCACCTCCCGAACAAGAGCTGTGTCCCGCAGGCCCAGTGTCTCCGGCCGCCTGTGCTCTCCTCCACAGGGATGCCCCGCAGTGGCCATCCCTCCAGTGTCCTTCGTGTCCTTGTGTCAGTAACTCATAGGGTCAGTAGATTTTTCAGGTCACGTGTATAAAATCGGCTCTGCAAGAAAATGCAATCTGAGCCCCAAAGCAACCCAGGGCTACTGCTTGGTCAATGTGGCTCAGTGGTTGGGCATCTAACTCATGAACCAAGAGGTCACTGGTCAATTCCCAGTCAGAGCACATGCCTGGGTTGTGGGCTTGATCCCCAGGGAAGGGTGTGCAGGAGGCAGCTGATCGGTGTTTCTCTTTCACCCGTGTTTCTTTCTCTCTAGCCCTCTTCTTTCCTCTATCTCTAAGAAAATCAACAAAACCATTAATAAAATACCTACTTTACAACTCACTCAAAAAATCCAATACTGCCTGGCTGGAGTGGCCCAGTTGGTTGAGCCTCGCCCTGGCCGGTGTGATTCCCGCTCAGGGCACATACCTGGGTTTCGGATTTGATCCCAGAAGGCTGCCAGTCTATGTTTCTCCCTTTTATCCCTATCTGCTTCCTGTCCTTGTGGGCAGTTACATTACTGGTGTGTGCTTCCAGGCTTACCGGCCAATATAAATGTATCAACACACTTCGCACCTATCTCTTTTCCTTTGAAGATAAGTATCTTTGAGGCCCTTTCCTTGTCAGCATATAAAGAGCTGCTTCTTCATGTTTTAGACCCGAGTTGTGCTCTTTTGTACGGATTCACTTTAGTTTCTATATCTGTGACAGTTCGGTTCTTTCCATCTCTAGGCCATAACAAATGGTGCTGGATTGGTATCCTTGTACACACACATACATGTAAGTTGGATAAATCTCCACAAGTGTCTGTAAGTGGAATTCCAGCGCCAAAGGCATGAGATTTGCAGTTCTGATAGCTATTGCCAAACGGACTTCCAATGAGGGTAGACCTGTTTCAGCTATCAGTGTCTGCAAGGCCTGTTCCCTGCCCTACCAGCCCCAATGTCTTATCACACACTTGGCCCTTAAGCAGGCTTTGCACTGACTCCCCTTCGTAATTTGGGAGCTGACTGACTTCCTAGGAGTGTGCTTACTAAGTGTCAAGACCTCCGATGCTAGAGGTCTTGATGCTAAAGCCTGACCACGTGGCTTGGTGCCTGGTTGCCGTGCACCGAGCGTGTGCCTCGGTGCATCAGCTGTGACATGGGGGTTTCACAGGAGCGGCCTCCTGGGTGCCTGTGAGTGAGCTAGAACTAGCACCTGGCAAAGGCTGGAGCAGTGCCTGGTGCAGGAACGCTCGCTGTTGTGTTCAGGGTTGTGGTTTCCAGGAGACACACACTCGCCCTCTCCGGGACCGGCCGCTTAGTTACCTGTGAGGAGACTGAGACTGCGCATTGGGTTTCTGTGTTAGCGGTGGCAGGGAGATCCTGAAAGAGAGTCAGCCTGGGAAGGAAGCAGGGCTGGGTGTCCCCTGGCTGATAGCGAGGGAGGGAGCCTAGAATTCTGAGTGGAGGGGCTGGTGTGGTTGGCCCTGAGCTGGAGGAGAGAGATAACAGATAAGATAGCTCTCAGATAGCTTCCTCCTGTCCACATCGAAAACTCCTCTAAACTTATAAAACTGACATTTTGCCCCAATTTTTTAAACACACACACAAACACAAACACACAAACATCCAATTTATTTGGGAGCTCTTAGCACTGACGCGGAGCAGAAGTTCAATACAGATTACCGAAGTCTAGAAGCTTATGTTCCTGTTATGCAGTAAATACAGTGTAAATAGTTTCAGAGGAAAGAAAAATGCCTTTTAAGGTATCTTTCCTCTCCCACTCTCCAGCATCTCCCTGCAGGCAGCTTATCACCAGCCCTTTTCTTACTTTTTCCTCTACATTTTGTCACTTCTCTGCCATCTTTGGGTCCATGCCAGTGACCTAAAACCCAGCTTCTCTCTCCCAGGCTGAGCCAGCCTCTGCTGTGGGGCCTGCAGTGCTTTCTCTCCCCCTCCTCACCGCTCCTCCTAAGCGTCCCCAGCTGTCCAAGGAAGGGGTGAGTGTGAGCGAGTGCTTGAGAGACAGAGAACTGCACTCTGGCTGCTGCTGCTCCTTTCTGGCCTCTTGCTAGTATTTTCCTAAATGATGTGACACGGCCTGTCTCCGTTTCCGGCTTTGCAAAGCCCTGGCACCATCACCTGAGCCCAGCAGCCCTGGCATGCCCTTGAGGGTGGTGGACACACTGTATCTGTCCACGGAAGCTGCCCTCCCAGCCGTGTGTGGGCAGTCCCCACTCCAGCGGGCAGCTCTCCCTCAGGGCTCTTCCCACCTCCGCAGGAGGCTCCTCCTGCAGGCAGCCCCCGGCCCGGCCCAGGGGGCAGGAGGGCAGCACCAGGCCCCTGGGGGGCAAGGCCCTGGGCTGTGGTGCACCTACAGGGGAAGGGACTTCTGAGGTCAAAGTAGGAAGACCCAGCGTTTAAACTTGTAATTGCTGCAAGTCTCCGTTGAGAGTTAAGACAGGATGTCTTGTTCTCTTTGAGTGACAACCTCCAGGCATTACTGACCTGAGGAGAGAAAGCAGACCCCTGGGGCCACAAAATGGCACCTCAGGGAGGTTGGGACTGAATAGAAATCAAGAACCAGAGCCTGGGGGTCCTACTCATAGCTTCCAGGTGAGCACCGTGTGGGTGAGAAATTGGCGGGCCATGCTGCCTGGGCTCTCCCCCACACCCTCAGCCGGTGACGATGGGTCTCTCCTCCTCGGGCCTGGCTGCAAGTGGCTTCCCGATGGAGCCAGCTGTCACCTCACCGGTGGGGGCTGGAGCACAGTTCTCACCACCTGCCGCAGGCAAGTGGATTTAAAACTCTTGCTGAAAAGAAAAATAGGGGGCAGGTGTAAGCCAGCCTCCAGCTGCTACAAAGCAGGTGAGGCTCTGTTCAAGCCACCACTTAACCCACTAGCCCACTCTTCCCGATATTTGTTTGTTTACTTGCTCTGTGGCAGGAATTCCCGCAGCGGGAGGGGCTGGAGCTTCTCCTCGGGAGCTGATGAGACTTGAAGAGTTAGAGGGTGATTTTCCAGGGTGATGATCTGTAAAATGAGAGCCAGGGAGGCTGTGTTCCTTTTAATTGCCACCAATCCTTAGTGGCTTACAAGGATACCTATGCAATGACTACCCATTTAATGACTCAGTTTCTTCGGCTCAGGAATGCAGGCAGGGCTGAGGCTGAGGCTGAAGCTGAGAACCAGGTGCCAGAGCTGTAGACTCATCCGAGGCTCAAGGCTCGACTGGGGAGAGATCCCCTTTCCGGTTCCCTCAGGGTGATGTCAAAATTCACCTCCAGAGGCCCTCTCTCTGCAAGGTTCAAACCACTAATGGGGGTGCCCACCTCCAGTCTGCAGAGGGTGGACTCTTTTATAATGCAACCTAACCCAGGTGTGACATCCATCACTTTTGCCACATCCTGTTGGTGAGAAGCAAGTCACGGGGCTTCCACCCACAAAGCCCTTAACACCGGGAGGCAGATCCGAGATCGCCTTGGAATTCTGCCTGCCCCGGGGAGAGGATACACGCTTATCAGTACATGTTTCCAAAGTATTTCCAAGTGAAGGCCCAACCTATTCCGCTGAATCACACTCTTCTCTTTGAAATGAAGCAGGTTTTTCTTTTCTCCCTGCTCGGAGAGCCTCCAAGTCCCGACACCCCGGCCAGCCAGTTCTTTCTCCATTTCATTCCCGCCCCTGCTCTTCCATTTCCCGGCTGCCTGTTATTGGGAAGAGGTGCTTTTTTAAATTGTTGTCTTTTTTACTTTGAATCTTCCTGGAAGAATTCGTGTCATTAAGATTTGTTTGGACACTATAATAGTCACAGTCACTTAGTAAATGATATTTCCAGCCCCTTTCTTGTAGAACTATTTCCTCCATTAACTGTGTTAACCCATAAAACTCAACAATGGTATGTAAGGAGCTGGGTCCTGAAAGGACTAAAACCTGAGGCCTGTCCAAAGAATTCTGCCCCCGGCCATGTTTCCAAAGTGCTGATGTCACAGGGTTGCGGTTTTTCAATCTCTCTCTTCTTTTCTTTCCCCCCTGAAGTAAGACTTAAGGTTGGTGCACCCTGGTTAAGTTTTTATCCTATTTTATGGAGGGAAACAACCAAACGGCTTCAGGTGGGAACTCATCTGCCCTAAGTCCCGGGCCCTGATGACAAGGCGGGCACCGGGGAGCCTGAGGGCCAGCTCCCTGTAACCTGCGCTCTCTCTCTTCCAGGTTCCATGCTGCCGAAGGGCCTGGAGGTTGTGACCGGCTCCCCAGAGCCCCCCGCTTGGCTGTAACTCCAGGAAGGTGTCTCTTCGGCCTCTGTCCCCTCTCACGGCCCCTCCGAAGCCACAGGAGGAAAATGGTGTGACGGCTTCCCACCAGAAAGGACTGTCGGGCACACCGAACCCTGTGAAGTGAAGACAGTGGCCCTCTTCCCCTCTCGCGGAAGAGACATTGTCGGATTCCAAAATGCCAGCCAAGACCCCCATCTACCTGAAGGCCGCCAACAACAAGAAAGGGAAGAAGTTTAAACTCAGGGACATCCTGTCCCCCGATATGATCAGCCCTCCCCTCGGGGACTTCCGCCACACCATCCACATCGGCAAGGAGGGCCAGCACGACGTCTTCGGCGACATCTCCTTCCTCCAGGGCAACTACGAGCTCTTACCGGGGAACCCCGAGAAGGCCGCCCCGGGCCCGCTCCCCGGGCACAGCGAGTTCCTCCGGGCCAACAGCACCACCTCGGACTCCGTGTTCACGGACACGCCCTCCCCGGTGCTCAAGAACGCCATCTCCCTGCCCACCATCGGGGGGTCCCAGGCGCTCATGCTGCCCCTGCTGTCCCCGGTGACGTTCCACTCCAAGCAGGAGGCCTTCGGGCCGGCCAGGCTGGCCCGGCTGCCCTGCGAGCCCGTGGCCGAGGAGAAGGCCCCGGAGAGGAGCCGTCTGATGGGCAACGGGGTGGCCCACCAGGGCGACGTCTCCTGGGCCTCCAGCGGGTCCGCGTCCGTGTCGCAGTCCAGCCAGGGCAGGGACAGCCACTCCTCCAGCCTCTCCGAACAGTACCCCGACTGGCCGGCCGAGGACATGTTTGACCACCCGGCCCCCAGCCAGCTCGTCAAGGAAAAGACTAAGTCGGAGGAGTCCCTCTCGGATCTCACGGGCTCCCTCCTCTCCCTGCAGCTCGATCTCGGGCCCTCGTTCTTGGACGAGGTGCTGAACGTCATGGACAAAAATAAGTAGCGGGACACCCCCGGCGATTCCTCTGGGACGGAAGGTGTCAAACAACAACAGCCATCAAACCGCCACCACAGACCACAGCCGAGGAGAAGAGCATCACTGGCTGTATTTGCAGCTATGTGATGGGTTTTCTAAGATAATGTTCCTACAGAGTATTTTTTTACTTGGTATGCCCTGTTTGCAAACACAGTTATAAAGAAAATAAATAAAGAAGGAAAGAAAAAAACAAAAAACAAATACCTGTCCTGACAAAAAGAGGAAGTGAGTCAATGAGAACCCATTTGGGCAGGATGGCTGATGTTCAGCTCGCAGGGTTTATCTGTAGACACATAGGAATCCGGCTCGGCCAGGAGGGCACCAGCCACCAAGGGCTGCACAGTCACAGGGAGGAACTTCACAGCATTTTCCGAGCAAGAAGAAGTCAAAATTTTATTTAACACCTAAGCCTCTTTTTTCTAGACTCTTTTCTATATTCTGTTGTTTGGGCTCACCGCGGCAGATTCTTCAGTGTTAAAACTGTTCTGTTTTCACATTTGAACAATTTCATGGGTTTGTGGGATTTTTCTTGTAGCTCTTATATACACCCCTATATATTATGTCAATATTGCAGAATTTTGACTGTCGGCTACATGTTGGTAGGACAAGCAAAGTATTACTGTAACTAAGTTATTTTTAAAAGTTGAAATATATTTTTATGTGCCTTTGGCTTTTTTATTGCAGAGTCTGCATTTTATAGATGACTACATCGAATGTTGTATTTGACCTGTTCCCATCGTGGTTCCATTGTAAGCTGCGTACATGTATGTTTGGAAAAGTGTATTCATACCTTAGCTTTATTTTCTCTTTTCTTCCACTGTTAAACTTTTCATAGCAGCCAACCATGGATTGTCAAGTGTAAAGGCACAGGTTGCCCATGGCGCTTTTGCAGAGATTGTGGGCTACACCATGTGATGTTCTTTGGAAATATGGATATTTGCGTACAGTACATACCTGCATTACATAGGTACTTCATACAACACAATAAAGAGTAAATGTTAAAATGGCCTTGCATGCTTACAGTAATAAACAAACAAAAGAATAATATTTCCTTATTATATAGTCCAGAGCTAAAAAAAATTGCTTTGCTCAAGTATACATGAGTCTTTAAAATAAGATAAGAGGTGACTCCCGTTCACTCTGTAATTTTAATTATTTCCCAAAGGTTTCTGATCCCCCAAACGGGGCCCCTACTGATGCCAGTCTCTCAAAATTCATTTCGTTGGTTCTTCTCCCTCACTTTAACATCCTCTACAGCAGACCTTACAACTCGAAGCCCATCTCTCCCGGACATGTGCTTCCATTGGGCAGGTGCCATTTGGACAAGACTAAGGAGGCTAAAAAGAGAGCAGCAGAGAGCACTGGCCCCCCAAGCAGCCAGAGGTGCCCTGAGGGTGTCACTTAAGGAAGTAAGAACAGGAAATACACTAATTCCGGGCCCTTTGTTAACCGCCCTTTCTTTCCCCTTCGAAGACCAAGCCTTGCACACAATCACTTGCATTTCTAGCCCTGAAATAATTTCCTCTCCCAAATTCGTCAGTAATTCTCAGGATTCAGAGTTATTGAAATTCTATGCATCACCTGATCATCTGATGGAACCTTTGAGCTGCCGGCCAACCACAGGATCACTAAAGAGAAGAGGAAACCCTGTTTGTTTAGCACAGGGAATGCCTGCCTTAACTCCCCAGTTGTGTTTCTGTCCCATGATGTGCAGTGTTCTTTTTTCTGTCCATCATACCCCACTCACAGTTCACAGTTCCAAAGAGATTTCCCAGCCATTTCTCCATTTTGTGAATGAGGAAGAGTCTGATGTATCCCATAATTTTTAGCCAGACTCTGAACTGTCCCCATCTTCATTATGGTTGATTATAGTCGTTCTCTCGTTTTACTTCTCAAATGCAGCATTACCTCAAGGGGAAGATTGAATCAATAGGTAAAATGATGAGGGATGTCTGCACTTCCTCTGCTCCCTCTGTGACATATGGGGAACAGTTCTGCCAGCATTGGGTTTGCTTGATAGAATTGAAGCAATAATGCATCCTTGCAGGCACTTGGCTATTAATAAGGACTCCTCTGAGCCCTTTCACATAGTCTCTACTGTTAGGTTAGGTACAGTTGAGATGGCAACATACATGCCCTTAGTAGAGAGGAAACAAAGCCACATCCGGTTTGTGAACGATTTCGTTGAGTCAGTTCTGTGGCAGCCTTTCAAATACCTGGTTCCTCTTCCGGGGAGCAGGTGCAGAGCTGGTGGCTTTCTCCTGCAAAAGGGCACTCTTGATGGCACCTGCAGAGAGCTGAATTGGTGCTCTCAGTCTACTTTTAACCTAATTATCAAGATGCATTTTATTTGCAAACTCAAAATGGCAAGCCACCCAGTGACTAGGAAAGAGATCATGCAATTTCTCTAAGTTGAGACCCTTCATGTTACAGCTAAAAAATCATCTGCTTAAAAAGATAAACGCATCAGAGTACTTCACAAATACAGTGTCATTAATGATCACACTTCAGTGTGTCAAAAAGTCACTGTCAACATAAAAGACCACTTGGTTGAACTGAAAAGAGAACCCAGGGCTCTAGAATCACAGTCGATTCCTTTTTTGTGTTATTGGAATGTGTCATTTTTTCTCCAGTCTCCCCATGAAAGGAAGTCATGGACTAGAGGAAGTGCATGAGTCTGTGAATTAATTTAATATTTTAAATCAGACAAAATAAAATTACCTATTAGGTGATGGTTCTGATGCTCCTAATACGGAACCTAGAGAGACAATCATTTTTACTGTAAATTATATAAACAATAGAATGCATAAACATGATGCATCCTATTTCTCTCCAATAAGAGTTTCTCCTTTGGAAATTATGTTATCAGCCTTGTCCCAAATATAATAGTTCTAATAAGTAAAATTCTGTTTTTAGAATTAGTCCACCAGACTAATAAGAATGAGTAACTTATTGTTTTTCTTAGATAAGTCAATAAGCTATATAAAAAGGGTTATTGGGTGCTGCTGTGTCTCTTCCCATTGGGGTCAGACTCAGCAAAATAAGAAATTTCCAGATGCCGAATGATAAGCTACCTTCGACTCAGATGCATAGACTTCTGGTTTGTTTGGTTGTACAGGACTCAAAGAATGTCACAACATTCAAAACTATATTCACACTAACTTACTGGTTCTGGGTAGGCAATGCATATTTCTCAAAAAGAAGATGGTCTCCCTGACAGATTTTTTGCATGTTTGTTTCATCTGACAGTACCTGGAATGTCAGATGCTTTATTCTGATGGCACAGCATTCCATCCAATCAGCCTTTCATCTGAGAGTGTTTCATTTTCACCTTATTCTTAGAACAAGTGCTTATTAAGATGCGGGCCTGAACATTTCTTCCTTGAGTTATCAGGGAGTCAAAAATGTTACAAATTCATATGGAAGAATGGGGACTATGCTTATTTTATGAAATGATGTAGAACACAGTGAAATGTGTTTTACAACTACACTGTATTTAATTATCTCCCATTTTTACTTAAAAAAAAAAATCTGATAGTGAATTCACTTCCATTGGCTTCCAAGGGAGGTCTGTGCTCTTCATCCTTGGAAGGTCAGCCAGATTTCCTCATGGGAAGCCTTTGACATGGGTGATAGATAGATAAAAATATCTGCCCAAATCAAAAGCACTCTGCAGAATGGAGTTAATATTCCAGAGACTTAATCTGCAGACAGATATCTGCTCTGCAAGGCTAAGTGAAGTGGGAATTACCCTCACCATGAAATGATTATTGGAGTAAGTCATGAGGCATATGTGATTCATTACCAAAAATTCATGGGGGGAAAGCGCTTTGAGTTCTGGGGAGGGAAAGATTTAGGGTGAGTTCATGGAAGAGGAGGACCCAACAGGGAGCTCAGAGGACTGGTGAGGTAAAATTCTTTTCGGGATAGAGGCATGCTCAGGGGGGCGGGGGAAAGATTATGAGCAAACAAAAGGATACATTGCATCCTAGTAGGGTGTCTACTCAAAATAGTTTGGGAACAGGGATTAAAGTAGAAAAGGCTGGGTTCCGTGCCTGAGAGAATTGGGCCCATGCCTGAGAAGGCTCTCCCTGTGGAGTAACAGACTGGAATCTGAGGCTGCTGAACTGGTGGTTCCCAGGGCTAAAGATGGGTATGCAATTACGCCACCATGTTGTGAAGGCTCATGCCTAGTCAATGGTGCCTGCAGTGTAGCCTGGGGACACAGCCGCAGTGAGGCTGGTGGGTGTGCAGGGACAGTCATTTGTGATGATGAAAGAAGTGGGAGGAACAGGTATCTCCTGGAACAGCCCTGGATGAAACAAGTTCATATTACAGTCTGGACTGAACACCCTTGAACAGCTCTCCCACCAGTGGTTTCCTCACACCCCCTATCAATCAACTCCCCTACCAACCCCACTCCGGGCTGCGTTGTAATTTCTGATTGAGCATTCCCAGGATTAAAAGAGAAAGCACCTTAGGACACAGAAAAGAAAGTCAAAATATCACAGAAGAATCTCAGGAAAACTAACTCAATGAAGTAGAAGCAAATAGCCCCTGACATTCTCTCAAACTCCTTGAAGTCCAAACTCACAAAACAGGAGCCCAGAGGGATTTAGAAGTCCCCGGCTTCCAGAGTCCGGTTTCCTCTATGAGGATCTGCCTCCTCCCAGGGGTGACTTCTGGGCCGTTCACCCTTCAGGGAAGACAATGTTCACTCTTAGGATGAACCCTTACCCTTCAAGGACATCAGGAAACTGGTCATCTCAGCACAAAGCCTCCAACATTTACACTGCAAATATCCACAGTGAAAAGTGGGAAGAGCCTTTCATTACATGTGGGCCTTGAACAAAGAGTTCCTTGAGGTACCACTTCCATGGAAAATTCTGTGGTTAATGTGAGTCACAATAAATGCACATTAAAACCCCCAAAGGATGTCCCATATCATGAGCAGCCCTATTTACAAG